AAAAACAAAAAACAAAAAACAAACAATAGCAGTTAGACTTATATACCGCTTCATAGGGCTTTCAGCCCTCTCTAAGCGGTTTACAGAGTCAGCATATCGCCCCCAACAATCTGGGTCCTCATTTCACCCACCTCGGAAGGATGGAAGGCTGAGTCAAGTGAATTACTCTTCAATTGTGGATATTAAATCCTGACTCACTGTGTTTAGTGCCTGTCCTGTAACTGTATTTTGGGGTGGATCCATGAAATGACCCATACTTTTTTTTTTAATCAGGCAAGTTTCTAAAGCTTCTAAAGCTTCCCTAACTTAACGGCGCTTCCTCGAGCATTGGTGCAGCTTTAGAAAACGGCACACTGGGAGACACACTCATGCATATAGTAGGCATATTGACAGGACTTAAAAGGAGGTAGAACTGGTTAGACTCGCTCCCCCTTCCGCCCACCGTTCCCTTTCTCGGCCCCACGTGTTGATTGAGCAAGCGAGGCACGAAGTCCTCTTCTGTACTCTTCCTTCTTCCTTTTCAGTGTCCCTGGGCTCAGGTGGACCGAAAGATCAGGCTTAAAACGGGGCCGTTTCGACCGCAGGAGGCATCAGCCAACACGAGAGGCAGAGAGAGGTAAGTAGTTCCCTCATCTGCCAAGGTACTTTTCCTTTCTTTCTTTCCAGACTTTTTAAAGCCCAGGCAGGGTTGCATCAAAGGGAAAAAGACAAAAAGACCCAGAAACAAATAGAAATCCAACTTCCAAGTAGCCATTTTAGCAGTGTTTTGAGAGAGGAGCGCGTGCCTTAACTTCCTCTGCATTTTATGTATTGGAATGCAGCCGCGAATCCTTTTTGCATTTCAAAGAGTCAGCGCTGGCTGTGTCCTTCCTTTTGCGGATGCTGTTCAGCACAGTTACACGCAGCCGAGAGCTAGTAGCAAGGAGCCAGTTTGTTTGAGGGAGATTTGGAAGGTTTAGAGTTACGAATTCAAGAGTATTTCAAAATTGTTTTGTTTCTTTGTTCATTTTTCCCTGCAGACGTTTTCAAAATATTCTTAAAATTGCATAATATGTCACTTTAAAAAAGAAAGAAAGAAAAGGAACGCATACTTGATATACACTTTAGATTGGATTAACAGAGTTGAAAGGGACTTTGTAGGTCATCTAGTCCAACCCCACATCCAAGCAGGAGACCCTGCACCATTTCTGACAGAGAAAGATTCCACTGATGAAGCTTTCACAACTTCTGAAGGCAACTTCTGTTCCACTGGTTGATTGTTCTCACTTAACCTGGGAAAAGCAAAAAACCACTGACCAAATCCAACCCATAATGGCAGCCCTGTTATCAAAAGTGTACAAAAGAGACCACAAAACTTTCAAGGCAGCTTCGTCAGACAATATGCAGCGGGAAGCGGAGGGTTAACAACCGTTGTTCAACTCTTGCCTTATAATTTGATAAGCAATTGGGCCACCCAATATAAATATGACCTGAGAAACACACCCATTTCCCACTTTTAACTACCTTCTGTATCAGGTGGACAGCTATTGGGTGATGAATTGGGAGGGAAAAAATGACAGATGTCACTGGAAGTCATAGCCTATTAAAGAATGAATGTTTGTGAAAACTGTTTCTTTATTGCCACGGCTAATACATTTCTAGGATCTTGAGCTATAAAAACAGTGTTAACTGTTGAACTGTTTATTAAATTTATAGGCCGCCCAATCCCGGAGAACTCCAGGCGGCTTACAGAAACAGAATCAAGAAAGATTAAAAACAAGACAAATTTAAAAAGACACAACATGCACCCAATCTAAGCGGGGCTGGACCTCAATCCAGAGGTCAACAGCCCAAGGCCTGCCGGAATAACCAGGTTTTAATAGCTGTCCGGAAGGCTATGAGAGTGGGTAGTGTCCGGAGCTCTGGGGGTAGCTCATTCCATAGGGCCGGAGCGGCAACAGAGCTCCCCCCCCCCCCCCCCCCCCCGTGTTCCTTACCTTTTTTTAAAGCAACCGGGCCAACT